TCTCCCTCTCTCTCTCTGCCCCTCTCCTGCTTGTGCTGTCTCTCCGTCTCTCTCTCAAAAATAAATAAACACTGAAAACAATTTTTTTTATCGTTCCCTTTTATATCCTAAAATTTTTCGGCAGAATTTAATAAACATTTGAAAGCTACCACCTTGTGACGGGCATTACGGGGAGTCCCAGGCAGGCAAAGACAAGCACACAGCACTACAAACTCTTAAGAACCTTGAAGCTTACTTACAAAGATAAAAAAGTGAATTGGCATTTATAATGTTCTATGAGAACAAACACGTGGTGAACCGGAACATTGTTCGACGGAATAGCATTCGGTTATGAAACGAGTGCTGACGCTACAGGAAGAACGTTGAAAATATTACGCTAAGTGCCAGAAGCCAGTCGTATAAAACACCTATTATATGACCCCAGTTATATGACATGTCTAGAATGGAAATCTATGGAGACAGAAGGCAGGTTAGTGGTTGCTTGGGGTGAGGGATGGGCAGTTGGGGTGACAGCCAAAGAGTACAGGGTTTCTTTTTGAGGCGATAGACACTCTGATATTGACAGTGGCGATGGTTACGGGAAGTGTTTGGATACGCCGCAACGCCACTGAATCTCACCCTTCAAATGAGTGAGTGGTGTCCCATGTGAATTTTTTTTTAATTTTTTAAACGTTTATTTTTGACAGAGAGAGACAGAGGGAGGGAGGGACAGAGAGAGAGAGAGAGAGAGAGAGAGCGCGCACGCGCATGAGTGGGGGAGGGGCAGAGAGAGAGAGAGAGGGAGACACAGAATCCGATTCAGTCTCCCGGTTCCGAGCTGTCAGCACAGAGCCCGACGTGGGGCTCAAACCCACGAACCGCGAGATCATGACCTGAGCCGAAGTCGGACACTTAACCGACTAAGCCACCCAGGCGCCCCTGTCCCATGTGAATTTAAACTGGTGAACGACATTATATGTGAATCTGAATAAACATATCATCTTTTTGAAAGGCAACACGGCTTCCAGCTGGTTCTCTCGGGTTCTCTCCCGGAACCCAGCCGCCATGCTCTGAAGAAGCCCAGACTTGCCACAGGGGGAGCCCACATGTAAGCACCAGAGCCAACGGCTTGAGGTGAGGTCCCAGCAGATGGCCAGCATCAACCGCGACACACGAGTGACCAGCCTTCTTCTGATTTCCCTCCCAGCCGC